GGGAACCCCGTACAGCCCGAGAGGGGCGCGGTCGGGACGGCCTCGGCTCAGGTGCTGCGCTTGGCATGGAGGAGCAGCTCCCGCTGCAGGCCGGCCTCAATCGTGGTAGCAGCCTTTCCCGGGGGCAAGTCCGTGATGAGGGTGAGCTTGTTGAAGACGCCTCGACCGAAGTAGTCGGCAACCACGGAGAAGCCGTCGTTGGCACACTTGAGCTGCCAGACACAAAGCAGCAGCAGTGTCAGCAGAGCCCCCAGGCTTCCCTGCCTCCACCCCCATCCACCCCCTGTGCTTACACCCCCTTTACAAGAGGCACGGCAGCCCCACTTGCTCCTTGGCGATCCTGCCAGCTCAATGCAAGTGCCACACTAGGTTCTATCTCTCGTCACAATCCTACATTGGAGCAATGCACTGAGAAGGTCACCAAGAATTACCTTCAGCAGGCAAGCAACTGCCCTGGCTACTCTCCTTTCGACATGTGTTAACGTGCTCTAGCCAACACGCCACTCTCAATTTCACTGCTTCATCTTTGGGCAACACAACATGGACACAACACTTTTGGTGTATCCCAACTGGATCGTCCTATCCCAGTTCTGATTCACCCACAGCTTTTTTTCCTTTCTCCTTAATTTGTTCTGTGCAACTTGCCGACCAGCTGTCACGCTAAGCCACAGGTCACAATTGGTTTTAAGGTCAGGGGAGAAGTTTCGCTTTCATCTTTGGGGAGCGTGGACAACTCCTTGTACCCTATACATAAAGCAGTCACCCTAGGGCCTAATGTATTTGCAGTCAACATAACCTTATGTACAAAACGCTTTCACTCCTACCCTTCTCTACCAGCCTCTGGAGAATCTGTAAATAAACCCAAACTCTACTGCTTTCAACCTGGTGAGACAGGCAACACTACCCTACCTGATGCTGAAACTGGTCATGCAGATCTCTCTTCTGCTCCTGGGCTCGGATCATGTCCATCACTTTGCGATTTTCTGGCATGCAAGTAGGACATTCTGAATCACTCTCAGAGTAGCTTTCAAAGCAATGCTGGTGGAAGGAATGACCACACAGGAAGTGCACTGAAGGCAGCTCCAGGGCACCGGTGCAAATGCTGCACTTGGTCTTCTGAAAGATCTTGGGACTGAGAGAGAGAGAGAAGGCAGAAAGATAATAAGCACAATGTTTTTCCTTCATGAAAGACAGTAACAGTTCTATCCTAGGTAAGACAAGACAGCACACAGCCCTGCACCTTGCTTTTAACTCTTCAATTTCCCGACGGATCCTTGTAGTTTCTTCTCGGTATTTCTGAATTCTCTGCTCATCCTGTTCTATCTGACGGCTCTGCTTCTGCAGCTTGTTGACAAGGTAATCCTTAATCACAGACAGGGTGGCTGTAGAGTTATGAGCCAGCGTCTGCACAACTGAGAACAACCAAGATGTTAAACACAAGCAGAAGAACTGCAGCTCTCCTAGTCTTACCCTGCAGACCGCTTTCCTGCAGAAGGCTGATTACAGGCAAAGACAGTCGGCATTCTCACTGAATCAGAGAGCTCATTTAAAGACTCAATTTCACTTTGACTGCTCCCAGAAACGGGTGACTAGGACCGTGTTTGGTTAGCTCAGACCAGAAGAGGAAAAGCAAAGATCTACTGTTCCATCTCAACTTCTGCATCAAGGCATGGCAGGAGTTTCAGCAAGCCCTTCACCTCCCCACACCGGCAGAACAGAAATCATGTACAGACATCTCTACAACTGACACAGCAGATCTCTTTTTTCCTAATTACAGAGCTGTGACTGGCATGGCTTCTCCCCACAGAGCAAGTTATCACTTCAAATGACAGGCTCAAACTTGTAATCTACAGCGTGCTATGTACAGGGGGCAAGGGCCACGCATCTTTATTACCAAGCAAGGGAGGCATAAGATTCTTGTTCTCGATGTGTTTTAGCACCGCAGCAATGTACTCTTTGCAGTCCTCCTCCTTCCGTGCAAAGTAGCCGAGAGCCTGTTCCCAGAGACAAGCCTCTTGGTCTCCATAGAGCTCGCACACCTCAATCACCTTCTTGTACTGCTCATTCTGCATGTGATAGTGCATAATCTGTTGGAAACTATGGGAGAAAGAGACTCGTCAGCTGCACCAATCTGTCTCCTCTTCGGAGTTGTTCCAGGGACCTCAGGTTTTCAGCCAGCCACGCAATCCCCGGACATTCACGCATAAGCCAAGACAGGTCTGTCTCCCACTCTAACTGCCCTGCTCTTACAAGATATTTTCAGGTGAACAACAATCTACAGTTCCCATCTTAAGGTACTAAAGAGTTTGTTATCGTTGTAATGGAAAGACACTTACAGTTCAGAAACCCCTGCAGTGAGGAGGGAGGGACAGTACTCTACAGAGAAGGGGAACACTCACAGTTTGCCCTGCTCATAGAGATAGAGGACACCATCCTTGAAATTGTGCATCTGACATAAGACCAAGGCCTTATCAAAGACTGTCTTGAACCTTCCGCTCTTCAAGAGGGCTAGGGCTTCACTGTGCAGCTTCTCCTTAATCTACAGGGGAGGAGAAAAGGTCATGGAGAACAACACACATACATAGAGAACGTTTCACACTAAGACCTGACAACTATTTGCAGCTCTTTCAAAGAGAAGGACAGTTTTGTTGCTCACAAACAGGATGCGATTTCTTTCACCCGATTGGTCAGCATCCCCAGAGAACTAGGCAAGCAAATAGAGCTACTTTTGTGGGCAAAGGCATCTGCCCACAGAGGTTGTATTGTCTGGAATCTGTTCTGAAATGAGATTCATAGCACAGCTTCACTGAAAGGAGTATTCTCCCTGCTAGCAGGCTGCTTTCCCATTTCTGTGCCTTCTGTCCAGCACAGCATACATATTGCCTTGTGTTACCAACAGCCACCCAGAGAGGTTAGGAGTTGGCAGGAAAATGCCAAGAGGATCGAAAGAGACCCAATCTCCCTCGCAAAACACAAAGCTGAGGAACCTCAAACCTGCTCATCTTGTTCATGTGCCCAGTTCTGAAGTCGAAGTTCCAGTAAAGTGTCATAGACACCCTGTGGAGAGTCAGCCTGCACCTCAGTCATGTGCTCCAGAAAAGCTTTCAGTTCTCGGGAGTTGTTTGCAAAGACTGGAATGAACTCCTCTGAATTAGCCTGTAACAGAGTCAGAGAAAGGCTAGCACTCAGATCAGTCTCAGCCAGACCGGCACTTCCTCGCAGCCATGCAGTGCGCTCGTTCCCAGATCATACGATGTGTTGGATACGGCACGGTACAGGGTGCCTATTTTGGCAGGAATCAGTTCAGAGCTGTAGCTCTAAGCAGTCTCTTGTCTCTGGGACAACCAGTGCACCAGGACACTGCTTCTCATTATACCTAAAACATCACACAGTGCAAGCAGAAGTGCTCGCTCACTGCCGAGTTACTGCTCGAGAGCAGCGGCTCTCAGTCAATGCAAACCTTTTTTCCTTCCAGCATCCCAGGGCCTTCACTGTGTCCCGATGGCCGATAATCAGTGCAAAGGATCTTTAGCAATTCCGTGGTCTCGTTAGGGACGTGGTGCATTAGGATTTTGCCATATCGCTTCATGTTACTCTCCGCCTGATCAAAAGGCAGTTTTCCAATGTAGCACAAAGCCTCTTGGTAATTCTGCGGAGGCAGCCAGCAAAATAATCATGTGACATCGGCCTCTGCTCTCTCTCATCTTCAAGGATAAGCATAAAAGAGTCGAAGGCAGGCTGCAAATATGCCATTTGCTCTGGATTATCCCCTAGCTGACTATTCCCACTGGTTTTCCTCCTCGGGGAGGAAAATTGGCCATGGACCGGGCGAAAGAGAGCGTGATGTTGATCCACCTCTGACTAACAACCTCCCCTCTGAAAAAGCCACACCTGACACCCAACAAGTAAGACTCTCTGATTTCCATCCCTGGTCCAGCACAAAAGGCAAAAACAGAAAGCCAACACACAAGGGCAGCAGGTTTTATTACCGCTGCCTCAGCAGTCCTGTCAGCATACTGGCCTTGGGGACAAAGTCAGAAAAATGGAATTCTTGCTAAAGAGAAGGCCAGTGAACTTGTGTTCTCCCCAGTAAGAACATGGGAACAGTAAGGTCTCCTCACCTTGATGTCCTCTAGTTGGATCTTGAGGTACCATTCGTGATGTGCATGCTTCTCTGCCAGGTATGCAGCGTGGGAGTAGTAACCCGCTTGACGAAGCACCTTGATCGCCGTTTCCACATCAAAGCGGACCTCACTCTCACTCGTCTATATGAACAGAAGCAGAAAGATGATCCCTCAGCATCATTCCCTCAGTCTGCTAGCGGCAATCAAAGAAAGCCAGAGCAGGGACAACCTGGTACCTCTCACACGAGGGTGAGAGAAAGATCACACATGCAGAAAGGAAGTCAGATTGCCAATCATGCTGGCAAAAGCCAGCACAGTCCAGACTCTGATGGCAAGCCAGCTAAACTGAGAATGTAAAAAAGAGCTTGGAAATAAAGGAGCCATGACAGGGTATAGAGGGATAAATCCATTCCTCTCTCTCTCTCGACAGCCCTACAGGACCCAATATATAGCATCACCGCCACCCCTTTTTAATTATTCTAATGACATAAGAACTTTCCATGATTTCTCATTCCCTCCCAATACCTTAATGAACTCCTCCAGTTTGGAGCTGTCTTTGAGTTTGGTATAGCAGTTCAGCAGAAGCGTAGTGTGGTCTGCATTGGCCAGGGACTGCAGATGGAGCGTCTGCAGATAAGCAGTGAGGTTGTGGATACGCTGAGCATCCAGGAATTTCCGAATAACGTAAGATGGTTCCAGCTTCCCTATAGTTCTGGGAGGGGCAGAGTCACGTCACAGGAAGTAATCAAAGTTTTTCCTTCATTTCAGTTGCTTAATGAAAAGTCAGCTTCAAACAGCTATGCCCAAACAGAGCAGGTTACCCCCAGTTATCCTGACACTTAAAGCACGTCAGCAATAAAATACATGCTGATTCTCACTAGACATTGGGACTCCGAAGTTTCACTTCTACATGAATGTAACGCTTTGTGGCATTTTAAAGAGATCGAACACAAACTTTTCAATAAGCCTCAGAACAGGCTGCTCCAAGTTTTAAAACCCCTGAGATGCTTTAAAACTGACATTAAAGCTGTTCGGAGCATTTTGCAAGAAGAGTGCCATACACTGTCAAATCCCACCATCCACCTTAACTAGAGCAACCCAATGCTTATCAGGACGCCATCAGGACCCCCTCCATCCCAATGTGCCTTTGTTATTCATGTGAAAATATGAAGAGAACTTTATCCTAACGTGTAGAGAGCAGTTTTCAAGTAGCTTTCTCTGAGACTTTTGATCATGCTCACGTTTCTCTCTACCATTAAAGTTTTCACCTCAAGTAATGCTTTTTTTTTTGGGTTTGGTTTGTTTTTATTCCTGTGATATAAGGAAACTAACGTAA